GGATTCATTTTTACATTTCAAACATTGGAATTCTAACCCATTGCGTCATGTAATTCTAATGGACCAATATATTGTTGTAAAAATCTGAATATATACAACCCACGTATAAAGTCAGTCACATTGTGATCTTAGGTGCCCTTATTTAATAGCACCTATGATAACAAAGGTGTCGTACGCTTTTACATTTCCGAGTGGTTTTTTTAAGGGAGCTACCATTTGATTTTTATGGGGGGGGGGGGGGGGCTAGGATGAAAAATTGTGTCCTGCATTTTTTTTTAGTTGTAATCTGTGTCCTGCCTTTTTATTTTTCACTCTATTCGTCCTGTCTTTTTTTTTAAATTTATCCTGACTTTTTTTTACCTAAATTGTCGTCCTGACTTTTTTTTTTGCAAGTGTCTCATCCTGCCTTTTTTTTTTAACTCAAAACTCCTGTCCTGCCTATTTTTTCAAATTTCATCCTATATATATTGCCATACAAAAGCAGTGATAAAGTGTCATTTTGATGATAGAAACATAGACGCAATTTATTAAGATTTCACTCCAAATCCAAAACTATGAAACATCTTCTGAAAGTGCACGGGGTACTGCATCTAGAAAATTTGAGATAATGACATCATTCCTATTTTATCAAAACAAATTGCTCTTTTAAGAACAAGAGATCTAGAAAAGAAAAACAAAAATCCTATGTATATAGTCGTCTCATATCTTCGAGGCTAACGCCCCTCAGATATGAGAAGCATACACCTAATACATGTCACATTTCACATTCAACCACATAATACTTTACATGCACACGCATGCATGCATGTAAACAGACATTCTCGTTATCAACTTCGACATGATGAACAGGAATGGAATCTTAGATTAATTGTTCAAACAGTATAGGATTTAATTTGGATCCCATTACAACGCATTCCACTTTTTCAATTTTAAACAGTGCTCGCGTTTCGACAGTATACTAATAAGTTTATATGAAGACGAGATCCACATCCTTTGCAGCAGCACGGCTTCGTGTCGGACCAACAGACTGTCGGATTAACGGACTGTCGGATTATCGGACCGTCGGACTATTGGACCGTCGACTAACCGACTGTCGGACTACTAGGATGAAAAATGTTGTCCTGCATTTTTTTTTTAGTTGTAATTTCTGTCCTGCCTTTTTATTTTTCACTATATCCGGTCCTGCCTTTTATTAGTCTATCCTGACTATTTTTTACATAAATTGTCATCCTGTCTTTTTTTTTTGCCAAGCTGCTCATCCTGCCTTTTTTATTACTCAAAACTCCTGTCCTGCCTTTTTTCAAATTTCATCCTAGCGCCCCTCTCCCCTCCCATAAAAATCAAATGGTAGCTCCGTAATCACGACACTGCCCCAATAACACACTAACTGAAAACTTCTCATCAGATATTGGTGTTCTTCAAGGGGTTTATTTTAGTTACCTACATTGTTTTTATAAATGATTTACCACAGAATTTTGATTCTAACTGTTGCCCAGTTTTGTTAAACAACAATACCCTTAACTGTTTAATGTATGCAGATGACATCATTATGATTTCTGAAACTTCATCTGGGTTACAAAATTGTTTGGACAATTTAATGGATTATTGTAATAAATGGGGACTGGAAATTTACATGAAGAAACCAAAGTGTTATTTTTAATAACACAGAAAGATATCAAAGGAACAATACACAGTTAATGGCCAACTTATTAAGAAAAAATATAAATATCTCGGCATTATATTCACTATCTCTAAGAAGATGAGGTATGAGTGCCAATGAGACAACTTTCCATCAGAGACCAAATGAGATAGAAGTTTACAACTATATATATAGGTCACCGTACGGCATTCAACAATGAGCAAACCCCATATCGCATAGTCATCTATAAAAGGCCCCGAAATGACAAATGTAAAACAATGAACGAAAAACAAATATGATATACAGCAACAAACGACAACCACTGAATTACAGGCTTCTGGCTTGAGACAGGCACTAACAGAATGTGCCAGGGTTAATAAACTAGTTTGTTGGCGCCAAACCCTCTTCGTATGGTAGCATTGAAAGCCTTTTTTAAATTAAAAGATATTTTACTCATTTTAAACCTAATATTAAAACTCTTTTACATATTTTTGACCACATACTGAAGCCAATTGTATTATATGTTGTATTATATGGCTCAGAAATTTGGGGCCAATTCTCACTAAATAAGTTACCATCAAACGGGGAGAACTATATTTTTCCAAATGTGTAAAGATTAAGTTATGTAAAAATTACATGTTAAATTTTGTAAATATTCTCTACTGAGGTACTTAGAGGATCAACTAACCTAGCAGTGATGGGAGAGCTTTGACAATATAAATGATTTAATGAGTGTCTACGAAAAGGACAACTCGGAGTCGGGACCGTATATGAAGACAATTTCGGGCCTGACATTTTGTGTAGATATGCATCTTATCCATTGTTGAAGATTGGAATAATCATTAGATTTATATTTCTGATTGTTAATTTAATTTGATTATGACTTTAGGCAGAGGCATATATACTACATACATGGTTCATAGTATGTCTCTGCTTCAGTAGGTTAACTTGGAATGAGATTATAATAAACGAATATAATAATATTTTGTGCCTTGTAGAATTTCTGTTACCGTCGGTGTTCCAAAATGGAAATCATAGTACACAGGGAACACCAAGGGATATTTCGTAGAGGCGGTTCCCGTGTGATTAAATTTAGTTTGATAACCAACGCCGAACGGATATCTACTGTCTCCGTTCCCGATTTTGATTTGTACAGTATAAACGGGTTGCACTAATGACAGGACGATTGCCCGGATAGTGACAGGACGATTGACCGGATGAGATATAAATAGTCATAACTTTTTTGTTATTCGGTAGATTTTTTTAATATTTGTAGACCTTAGAGATATAAAAATATATTTTATGAAAATAAAACAAAATAAATGAAAAATTTTTTTTTGAGCAAATAAAGTTGACCGGACGGATTTCACACTCGCCGATATACGCTATACATATATTCAACTTGTCGACAACAGGTGTTAATATCTCTTTTGTTTTACAATATTTGTCGATGAAATTAAGGAATCTGTGAGAATAATAAATATATAATACGAAAATATAAACTTTATAGTAAACAAAAATGTTTTTCTGCAAAAAAATTGACCGGACGGTATTGACATTCGCCGATGTACGCGTTGATTATATTGAACTGATCAACAAAAAGTGTTTATATTTTTTTTGTTTTACAATATTTTTACATGAAACTAAGAAATCTACGAGATCAATAAATATATGATATGAAAATATAAACTTTATAGTAAAAAACATTGTTTTTCTTCAAAAAAAGTTGACCGGACGGAACTAACATTCGCCGATATATGCTTTAAATATATTGAACTGATCGACACAAGTTTTAATATCTCTTCTTTTTTTACAATATCTGTCCATGAAATTAAGGAATCTTGGAGATTAATAAATATATTATACGAAAATTTAATCTTTATAGTAAAAAAAAAAATGTTTTCTGCAAAAAAAGTTGACCGGACGGAATTAACATTCGCCGATATATGCTTTAAATATATTGAACTGATCGACACAAGTGTTAATATCTCTTCTTTTTTTTTATAATATCTGTCCATGAAATAAATGAATCTGTGAGATTAATAAATATATTATACGAAAATAAAAACTTTATAGTAAAAACTTTGAGCCCAAAATGTTGATTTGAGTGAGTTCACTAGAAGTACTTATATTTAATTAGATTAATCTAATTTAGACACTTGTCGTAATCACCAATCAAGCCAAATAACATGTCATTAAAGTTTTCACACCTGAGACATCAAATACATTTAATTGAATTACCTTATATAATCAGTTGGCAATTAGAATTTTTTGTTTGTAATAACGATGTAATTTTGAAATAAAAGGTATATCCTGCTCGAAATTTCCACTTCCACCTCCCCGTTGGTGAGCAGGGGGCAGAATAATTCTGGCAGACGGAAGGGATCGGCTAATAATTTGTTGCCGCAATTTTTACTATTTGAACAAATATACAATTCCATTTGTTCTAAAGTAATATAAACTATTTACTCTAAAGTTAATATTTTCATATAATATATTTATTAAAAATATTGCAAAAAAAGAAGAGATATTAACACTTGTGTCGATCAGTTCAATATATTTAAAGCAAATATCGGTCGAATGTGAAATCCGTTCGGCCAACTTTTTTTTTGAAGAAAAACATTTTTTTTTACTATAAAGTTTGTATTTTCATATCATATATTTATTGATCTCCAAGATTCCTTAATTTCATGAAAAAATATTATAAAACAAAAAAAATATTAACACTTTTTGTCGATCAGTTGAATATATTTAAAGCATTTATCGGCGAATGTTAATTCTGTCCGGTCAAATTATTTTGAAGAAAAACAATTGTTTTTACTATAAAATTTATATTTTCATATCATATATTTATTGATCTCACATATTTCTTAGTTTCATGTAAAAATATTGTAAAACAAAAAAAATATAAACACTTTGTTTGATCAGTTCAATATAATCAACGCGTACATCGGCGAATGTCAATACCGTCCGGTCAATTTTTTTTTGCAGAAAAACATTTTTGTTTACTATAAAGTTTATATTTTCGTATTATATATTTATTATTCTCACAGATTCCTTAATTTCATCGACAAATATTGTAAAACAAAAGAGATATTAACACCTGTTGTCGACCAGTTGAATATATGTATAGCGTATATCGGCGAGTGTGAAAACCGTCCGGTCAACTTTATTTGCTCAAAAATATTTTTTTTCATTTAACTTGTTTTATTTTCATAAAATATAGTTTAATATCTCTAAGGTCTACAAATATTAAAAAAATCTACCGAATAACAAAAAAGTTATGACTATTTATATCTCATCCGGTCAATCGTCCTGTCACTATCCGGGCAATCGTCCTGTCATTAGTGCTTCCCAGTATAAACATTCTGGGAAACGAAAAGAAATGAATTATGATGACAATATGAAGAAAATACTCATACTTTTTTGTTTCATTTCTTTGACAGAGGTAAAGTTAGAACACTTAAGATTACAGTTATAATACTTTGTTATTTCTATGACTATGAGTGTATGTACGTAAATTCCTCCGTTATTCGAAGCACTCGAGATCCCCGAGAGCTGCGATGACACAGTGGAACCTCGTACACTTTATGGAGATGTGTCACTAACTAATATACAACCCACCACCACGGACAATCCCTAACCCAACACCTAGGGAGTGTAAGGACACCAGATAGTCTGTTATAATATTATGGTTGGGGAAGCCGAAGTACTACATGTACCAGTCCGAGCTCAGACATAAATAAGTCTAAATCTGCTTTTGACTCATACTCATAGTGGTCTAAATTTGTAGGTTTCAAGATTTGTCTTCCTTTAATTTAAGACAAATTATGACTTCAATAAGTCAGTTAGTGTTAAGCAAGAAATATTTGACCTGAATTAAAAAGTTGCAAATATTGACTCCTACAAGTCGATAAGTTACCAAAATTGGTCAACTTCAAGACCCAAGCATATTTAATAAAAGGTCAAGAATCTACGTGAAATTATGACAACATTGAAAGAAAATGCTTTGTCTTCTAAAGAAAATATGCATGAGAGCCTAAAAAAACAGAAATAATGTTTATTTACTTTACAATGCAACCATATATAACCACACAAAATGAGGAAAATAATCTTATGTTAAGGAAAAATGTTCAATTAGATAATAAATTAAATATAGATAGCTCAGGTCCTTGTGAACTCTCAGACAGGTTTATGATGTCATAGGTGGTGCACTTTGGCCACAGAAAAAAATATTTCTTCTCATGAACATGATGAACATAAATAGACCTAAACAAGTCTGTCATTTTCTGACTTAAATAAGTCTGAAAATGAAAAGACATTTTCATGATAAATACATTTTTTGACTTCTGTAAGTCAAAAACAAAAAATGACTTGTTTATGTCTGAGCTCTGACTGTGTACTAGGAGAGAACCATTGGCCCTCCGTAGGAAAAGACGGTAGAATGATTTTGTGAGAACTCCAAAACACTCAATATGAACCCAAGAACCAATAGATATAACCCGAAAACTTTACTGTTTATGTAGTAATACTCCTTTTATAGATAACAAAATTCTATGATTTTGAGATATATATCTTATTATATATAAGTCAGGGTCTCACTAGACATATTCAATAATTAGCAACAAGAAGCGACACTAAGAATAATTTACTGACAAGAAGAGTAATTTAGCAACAAAAAGACTATTTTAGCGACAAGAAAACAAATTAGCGTCAAGAAATTTAGATATAATTATTTCAAATAAATAAAGATCATTAATATATAGAAACATGTATTCATACATGACATATAAGTTTGTTTTTTGATATACATGTATTTTAATTACTTTATCATACTGATAGAACATTTGTTCAAGAAAAGATCTAGAGGTTTTTATTATCGAGGATATGTTTAAGATGTCGTAGGAAAAATGGGACACCAAATCAATCGCCAACTGGGTGAAGATATAGTCACCAAACCACAAAGACTAAATAGGAGTGGATTTAAATGTGGGCCATTTTCTGCATAAAATGAGTCGTCCAAATAACTTTATTATAATTAGCATCTGTTTATACAAAATTGTAAACCAAATTTACAATGTGTTCAGATAAATATGAACAATATGCATAACTGAAATATTCACTTGCAGGGGAGCTATAATCTGACATTTACTGATATACCAAAATGCGGCCTCAGTCAAGCCAAACTGAATACTATATTTGAAATACTAAAATATCTTTGCTTTAATAGGAATATTTAAACATGACCAAAAGAATAAATAAATTTACAAGTACCTGTAGCGGCGACTCTCAGCATCCGCCCTTCCTGATATATATTGATCAGTGACTAACTTCAAAAAGTGCTTATTAGTATATATATATATGGTTAATATTCCCGCGCTTTGAGTTCATGCATAGCTCATGCCATTTGAATATAAATATATATCATTTAAATATTAAATTATAGTATCGCATTCACTTTCTATAGTACTCAATTTAAATATGTGTGTTGTGATTTAAATATTCAGTCCCTATAGCCAAACATAGCGTACAAAGCTATAGTCTGTTTCTAAATACACAGCGCAAAACAATTTGCCGTCAATCGTCAAGTAGAATATAAATATGAAATATGAATATGATATGAATGTGAAACATATAACACTGAAAACACAAATAACATAAAACATTTTTTTTTAATGAACAGCTATTCAAAAGACCAAATGACAAGGATGTGAACAAATAGTAAGCCATAAAAGCCCCTGACATAACGGAATGTGGAAAAAACTCTGTAAAAATTATAAATAAATGGAGCAAAATATATAGCATACATATATTCTGTGACAAAGATAATATATTTACAGTTTACAGGATATACATATTTAAGTGATTGAAGGAATGAAAAAGGGGGGGAGGGGGAGATAATTTCTTTGTTCTCTGATTTTTAAGCCATTCTGTATGGACACTTAGTATAATCAGATGATTGAGGGATTAGCTTATTCTGTATGCTCTCATATTTACATTATTTATTTATCAAGATAACTTTACTGTTGTGACACCATGTTCAGATTCATAAATACTTTAATTATTTTTTTTACTAAAATTTCACTACAAGACGCAGCGCTACTAAATGCAACAACATTTGAAAGTTTATAAAACAGTTATAATACCTTGTAATTAATTGACTTTTTTTATAAACTTATTGTTTTGATAGTTAAACCTTCTTGTCGTTAAATTCATCTTCTTGTTGCATCTTGACACTTGCAATGACTTGTTGTCGCTAATGAGTGAGATGGATATATCATTTTTGTTGAGCCTGCAAAATATATTTTGCTAAAGTGAGACATAGCCATCTTAGATTCCGTCGTCGGCATCGGTGTCGTCAACATTTAGGTTCAGTCTATGGTTAAAGTTTTTTTAAGACATCAATAAATTTGTCAATCCTACATGGAATTTTATGAAATTTGGACAGAAGCTTGTTTATGACCAAAATACAGTATCCAGAGCAAAATTTAAAAAATATTTATTTACATTTTCCCGTATTTTACTGATAAATGGACTTAGTTTTTTTTACAGTTAACATTCAGATTCAGTCTGAGGTTAAAGTTTTTTTAGACATCAATAACTTTGTCAAACCTATATGGAATTTTATGAAACTTAAACAGAAGGTGTTTATGACAGTATCCAGAGCAAAATTTTGAAAATATTTATTTTTATATTTCCATATTTTACTGATAAATGGACTTTGGTTTTTTACTCAGTCTGAGGTTAAAGTTTTTCAGTCATCAATAACTTACTGGTAGTCAAATCTTCAGGTAAATTTATGAAATTTTGACAGAAGGTTGCTTACAACCATTACCCAAAAACAGTATTCAGAGAAAAACATGAAAAAAGTTGAAATTATTTATTTTTATTTAACCGTATTTTACTGATAAATGGACTTAGTTTTTTTACAGTTAACAAGTAGATACATTCTGGGGTTATAGTTTATTACACATCAGTTACTTTGTCAATCTTTCATAGAGTTTTATGAAACTTTGGCAGGAGGTTTTTGTCTCGCCTGCGACGAAAGTCGCAGAAAGTGAGACATAGGTATTACTATCCGGCGACGGCGGCGTAAACTATTTGTATAAAGCTTTATATTCCAGAAGGTAGAAGACCTGGATGCTTCATACTTTGTATGCAGATACCTTATGTTACGAACTTTCCGTCTGTCATATGTCCAATGTCCTTGACCTTATTTTCATGGTTCAGCGACTGCTTGAAAAAAAAGTTTAGTTTTTTTGTTATGTAAATTTCTCACTTATTATGAGTAAAAGGATAACTATATTTGGTATATGGGTTCCTTGCAACGTCAACATGTCCATCAGACAGGGTTCACCTGACCTCAGCCTCATTTCAAGGATCAGTGATCAAGGTTAAAGTTACGTGATTAGGTCCGTCTCTCAGATACTACAAGCAGTAGGTCAGCTATATGTGGTGTATAGAATGATTATAAGGGATACATGTCAGTCTGGCAGGTTTCATCTGACCTTGACCTCATTTTCACGGTTCATTGGTCAATGTTAAGTTTTTGTGTTTTGGTCTGGTTTTCTAATACTATAAGCCATTGGTCAACTATATTTGGTGTATGGAATGATTGTAAGGTGTACATGTCTGTCTGGCAGGTGTCATTTGTCCTTGACCTATTTTCATGGTTCATTGGTCAATGTTAAGTTTCTGTGTTTTGGTCTGTTTTCTAATACTATAAGCAATAGGTCAACTATATTTGGTGTATGGAATGATTGTAAGGTGTACATGTCTGACTGGCAGGTGTCATTTGTCCTTGACCTCATTTTCATGGTTCATTGGTCAATGTTAAGTTTTTGTGTTTTGGTCTGTGTTTCTAATACTATAAGCAATAGGTCAACTATATTTGGTGTATGGAATGATTGTAAGGTGTACATGTCTGTCTGGCAGGTGTCATTTGTCCTTGACCTCATTTTCATGGTTCATTGGTCAATGTTAAGTTGCTCTTGTTTGGTCCTCTTCTCAGATACTATAAGTTATAGGTCAACTATATGTGGTGTATGGAATGATTGTAAGGTGTGCACGTCTGTCTGACAGGTTTCATCTGACCTTGAGCTTATTTTCATGGTTCATTGGTCAATGTTAAGTTTCTGTTGTTTGGTCTTCTTCTCAGATGCTATAAGTAATAGGTCAACTATATTTGGTGTATGGAATGTATTTTATTATTTAACTGCTGATTACTTACATTGAAATAGATTATTTTATAAAAATCTTTAAATAACATTAATAATGATAATAAATAATAAAAACTTTTAAGGGATCATTACTAAACCGTGATTAACAAAAACATTGGAAGGTGTGAAAATGTTAAAATAAGGTCACTCATGCATGAATGTTTACCTAACATAGAATACAGTTCACTCTGGACAGTCCCTTCATAAAGATTAATTGGCTGAATATGTA